ACACATTTACCTGAAGGTTAAGTTCTATTGAACTCACTGGGATGTACTTTTGAATAGATACATATAAAATCACAGTGTATATATCCCTTCATTATGCCTGTATGGAGCCATTATGTACAAGAGCAAAAGAAATTATGCAGATGGGACGCATATCAACACATTGCTACATAGAAAGCAAATGGCTGTGTCTTATCTTCAGCAGCATTTCAGTGGTTTATAAACAGGGACAAACTTTTATTTCATCGGTTACTTTGATTTCTTGAATAAGTGTTTTAAGTTATCATTATTTATTAACAACTGCTATCCTGTTTTTTAAAAGCCATTCTGAAATGTGAGCTTCCAGTGAGCAGCTAGCTGACTAATAGGTGAACAAAATACTGGACTAGATAAACACATGGCTCTTTTATGTCCTTACAGGAGTTTGTGCATTTTTCTACTATCCTGCAATACAGATTCATGCATCAACAAGTAAAGGCAACAATAATTCTAACAGTATAATTTATATACTTTTAAGTGTGCCATGTGTGCCTTTTTAGATTAGGGAGAACATGATATCCCTTCATTTCCTCAATTTGATCCTACATGTCCTTCCAAAATATTTGCACAAGTAAGCAATATCACAATACACATATAAAAACTAAATTTATATAAACATGTATCAAGCATTTAAGCTATTTTTAAATCTGGAATATGTATATACCTTCACTCAAATATTATCAGAATTTTAATAATTATTTTAATAAGTTTATCTTAACCAAATATGTTGTAAGTTCATATTTGAATCTCAACAGCATTATTTTTGTTATTGTGTAACCCTGCCGACATTGGGTGGTTGGGTTTTTGGTTTTGGTTTTGTTTTTTTTTAGTTTCACAAATGCAGAAGTAACTTTATTTGAAATAGTTAACTCTTTGATTTTTGGTATATGTCTAGAATAAATATTAATTACTTAAGGAGCATCACTGATTTGTTTAAGGGAGAAGTTTAATTGCTAAAGGTCATACAGTAATATGAGGATGAGAGTAGAGTGCTTTTGAACATGTTTTAAGGTTTGTAAGGCTTTTCCCAGCATATTGTCCTTGTGTTTTTAGATCTCTCCCTTAAATGTGAGGACTATACACTTTTTATATTTATTTTTTACTGTACAATAAAAAACCAAAACCCAACAATCTCAGGAGAGGAGAGGAGAGGAGAGGAGAGGAGAGGAGAGGAGAGGAGAGGAGAGGAGATTAGTTAGAATCCAGGTTTGGTACTGTTACTTCTACACCTTTAGATTACTGTAAATATTGACTGGGGCCTACAATTCATGCGTATAGATACCTATTATCGGTGAATAAATATGATACACAGGGACTCAAACAAGAATGGAATAATGAACTGGAGCACTCCATGTTGCCTAATGAATGGAGTGCTCCAATTAGTATCTATTTCACAATGGATCATGGTTATGCTTAATTCAGCAAAACTTGATGTTTCAAGTGTTGTTGTTGTTTAGCAAAGTCACCTCCGACCCATCACTACCCCATGGACAACATTCCTCCATGCTCTCCTGTTCTCCACCATCCCCCGGACTCCACCTAAGCTCACACCAACTGCTTCAGTGACTCCATCATGCCACCTCATCCTCTGCCGTCGCCTTCTTCTTTTGCCGTCAATAGTTCCCAGCATTAGGGTCTTCTCCTGTGAGTCCTTCCTTTTCATTAGGTGGCCAAAGTATTTCATTGGAAGAGTTTCATCTTCAGCATCTGGCCTTCTAAAGAGCAGTCAGGGTTGATCATCTCTAAGACTTACTGGTTTGATCTCCTTGCAGTCCAAGTATACCGGATGTCAAAATGTCTCTTTGATCAGGGCTTAATTAAAGGAGCCAACTGTTGAAGGAGCAATGCTGCTAATGCTTCTCCATATGTTTTAGCAATGCCTAATAGCACCTTCCTTTTGGTGCTAATTTGGATACATTTTGTGATGTAAAGTGTTTTAATACTCATGTTCTTTTGAATTACCTATTCATCTCTTGAAATTTAATGTAAGGTCATTGGAAATGGATTTTGTACACCCTTCTGACAGCTAAAAATTAATATTACATCACTGGAAGGATAAACAGCCACCTGCAATAACACAGTGGATGGACAATTTAATGGAACTTTTAATTTCTGAGTGGGTGGCCTTTAAGCATAATATACATAGATACAGACATCAATAATGGGGTGCCTTTGTTGAAGTCAATGCACAATTGTTTTGAATACTGGTGGTATGTTGTGTTATATATTATTACTATAGGGATCTATAACATTGTAACTAGTATTACGGATCCTTTTAAATTTAATGTAAAATTGGAATGCTTCAGCATTAGGATTATACATGAAAAGAAATGAGGAGATCACATGTAGCTGAAAACCAAAGCTTCGTGGTAGATATATGTGAGTCTGTCTCAATCCTGCTGAGCAGTTTCTGATACTTCTGGTTGAAAAACAGAAAGAGCTTACCTCCCAGCTTTTTGTCGAGGGTTCACTGAAGAAGTTGTCTATCATGTCAAGCTCCTCTTTTTCTACCACAACAAAACCCTGATCCTTGGCATCTTTGCCATACACATCAGGAGACCACTGTACAAAAAAGGTATACAGATGATCAACCCTGGGAAATAAAAGAAAAAGAAATGTGCTGAACATTCCAGAAACACTGAATTAGAGAACCAATGCACAGTTCACTAAATTACTAATGCTCTTTATTATCTACCTAAAAGGAAGCTTTGCACATGCACAGCTGCTGATTTTTGTTTGCATTTGTCCATACATTTGATGAATAATTTGAAGTTGGACTGACACTTAACATGTTCTCCCCACTCATATCCTCATACAGTGCCCAATGAAGAAATGCTGTGGTTATCTGAACATAGGATCTCCTTTGTCCCAGATTCTGAAGCTATGTTGGACTTAGGATCCAGGGTCAAGCATGTTTTTGCTTTAAAGCAAAAATAAACAGTGTATTAATTTTGCACCTATCAAGGAATGAACATGCATGTGGAAATTACAGTTCCCATCTCCCATCCCCATGCCCATCTTCAGGTTGTTGCTGCCAGTCCTAATCTGGGTTGTGCTGCTACATATTATTTTATCTTTTTGCAACTATTAAAAAAACCTTATTTACTTTTGCCTCGCTCATGCTTGAATCATCCCATATTGCAAAACTCTGCTGTGACAAATTACTCACTTCTACAAAAGTGAGCAACTTGCTTAACAACCCTTTTCCCTTAAGAGGTTTGATTTTGAGGTTTTGCCCTGAGACTGCAGTGCTGAAACAAAACTCTGATCCCAATCATTGGGCAGAGGGTGGCGGTTTATGTGCTATTAAAGTCTGTTGTACACTGCCTTGAGGATTTTTTAAATTGTTATATTATTATTATTTATGTATGTATTTAGGTATTCTTTGTGAGCCGCCCTGAGGCTTTGTTGTGATGGGGGCAGCATAGAAATGTTTTAAATAAATAAATAAAATATATATTTTCTACAGAAACCATCACCATGGTTCTATAGAAACCATCAAAGATGAATTATCATTGTCGTTGAATTCCATGATATGTTAACCAACTTATTTCTATACCCAAACAGTTCCAGCCTTGTGGAGAAAAGCGAAAACACTTATAAAAATGAGCACTTTATCAACATGTGAATACATATGAATGTATAGGTAGCACTAAGTCTATCAGTGGGCAGATTCTTAGATTGTATGTCTTTCTTATAGGTGCCAGTCTCAAGCATTTAGTAGACAGTCCTCCAGTTTATTTTATGTAACAGTTTCTGAAACCACACGAGATCAAATCAGGTGAAACACAAGTCACATTGATTGCTTCTGAAAGATACCAATGGTCAACCATTGTTCCTATTTCCTCTCCCTGGTCTAACAGTGCAAGCCAGCATGGAGATTTCTTAATGGCCTGGTGCAGATTTTCTGAGTTTTGATTTTCTGTAAGTCAAAGTTGCCAACTGATTCAAGTATTTAGGGAACTAAGGTTTAGACAGAAGAAATTTTAACCATTCCCAGGATGCTATAGATTCAATGATTAACAGATAGACTAGCTGTCAAACCTACAGACAAGGAATACAGAAGGGAGCTAGTAGAGAACCTACCTGCCCATTCTGCATTCCCAAAAGAGTAGAGAATGGCAAACAGAAACTGGAAAATACAAACCCATCAAATTTTCTTTGATGGGTTTGTATTTTCACAAATGTATATGACCAGTGCTTTCTGTGGACAATATGCACAGAAACAGCGCGAGTTGGAAGGGGCCTCCTGGACCATCTAGTCTGAACTCTGGCTCCACTCATGGCATGCCTACCATGTGCATGTTCAACCTATCCTTGAACACCCTCAACAATGAGGCTTCAACAACCTCCCATGGAAGCCCATTCCATACCCTAAGGGTCCTACCTGGAACCAAGGTTCAATTACTTCCTGGCATCCCAATTGAACCTTGGTTCCCTGAGCTTTGCTCCACTGGGATGCATCCTGCCCTCCTATGCAGGGGAAAACCAGTCTCTACCCACCTCTGCGTGACACCTCCTCACGTACCTATATGACACCAACAAATCCCCTTGGAGTCTCAAGTTAGTCTTATCAGGTTTATTGGACCCAGGAGGTAGTATGGGACAAGAGATACAGTTAACAATATGACTTTGTCATTCAGTGGAAATGTTATTCCTTGTTATTATTTTATCTTTTTCTATATTTCTCCTGATAAATATTTGCTCAGCTGGTTCCCTCTCTTATAGTATTCTGTTGGATAGTAAGAACATTCCTGTTCAAACAGGCATTTGTTTCATCTGATAAATATATCTGATCCGATGTTACACCAGCCTTCCTTTTTAAATTATATTGTATGTTTGTTGTGTGGCTGTGTCTTATTGCAGTTCTGGTAATTTTTTATTCTGTGTAAGCACCAAAAGAAAGGAATATAATTTCTTTGCATAAGTTAATAAAATTGGTCAGTAAAAATAATGAGATTAAATATGTCACTTCTGAGAACTCACGAAATGTGCACACTCAAATTTAAAACAGATGTACAAAAAATTGGAATGATCCCAACCAGATCAGATCCTACAAAGCAATGTCTACAGTGGACTTTTCCAAACAAAAATGCACACAAAAATTCATATACTAGTGAATATAATGCTAAAAATGCATTAGATTAGGAAAAGCACTTGCAAAAATTTAGGCAAAGTTGTGTATAAGAATGAACGTTAGGAGAAATGTGCACAGAAATGCATATTAATTTTCATTCAGCCCCTTTAAAAGAAGTCACAAAATTTGGAACAAACTACAGATAACATTAAGGCACATCCACATGTGTCCATGTTCCTTGTTTGGCACAAGGAAAAGTATTCTTGGGGGGAAAAGGTTGCTTTTCTGCCACACTGATGCATCAACTACATGGATGGACAGCAAAATGGCTGAAGCTGAAATACCTCTGGGCTACAGAAATTAGATGAGCCACAGCAGAATAACTTATTTCAGAAAGTAGACTTATGCTATTGGTTCATTTTCCCTGTTTTCCAATATTACCTTAGCCTTAAAGTCAGCAACAGTGACTGCGTTCTAATATGACAAATGCTTTATATATCACACATACATAAAATAAAAAAACAGGAGCTTATAAAACAGGAGCTTTATACTCACTGTCCAGAACTGTTAACAGTCCCCATTGCAAGATTCACAATAGAGTACCTTCTACCAGCTGGTTAGATTCAGTAATGCATCACTAGGTCAACATGAGCACTCAAGCAAAGCCACAGAGGAGTCTTATAAAGCACAATTCTGTAATGATTGCTGCTCTTAAACTTACGTGCAAAGATAAGGACTCCTCCTATTTCACAATTACAATGAGACTGGGGCCAAGCCACTGATTAACCCAATTTATTGTCTGAGATGACAAAATAATGTTTGGGAGCACTTGCTGCATGTCCAAAGTCACACAGAGGGCAGAAATGCCAGGAAGAGCCAAGAGCTGCAGTTGTGACAAATTTTGTATGATTGAACAGCCCACTGTAGTTTATTTAAGCCACAGTGGGTTGCAGGGCATGGGGTTGACCATTTTGAATCTATGAAAAACCATGGTCTATTGTTGAGTTTTGCAAGGGTTGTGTAACTCTCTCATAACCCTTAATCACCAGATTTGCACAACACAGTAAGCTGCAGCCAGGCACCAACTATTCAAAATGACTGCATACACCACCGTTCAATCATGGAAACCAGTCCAACGTGGTTTGTGGCAAAGTAAGCCACACATAAATATTTAATAGTTTGATTATGGTAAATTCATTGATTTTCTTCTTTTGGAATTCTATTCCAGATTGTGCTTTAATATTAAGAGGTGTATACATATACATTACATAATGCTGCATATTCTGACAAAATTCTAAAACAAAAAATTGAACATCTTAAAAAAAAGATACAACACCATGCAGCAGTGTCTCATTTTAAATACTTCTGCTGCTGTATCATTTAATCATTTGCTAAGTATTTCCATCCTCTAACTTCATTTTTTTCTGCAAACCCTTTCCTGGACTTTTTTTTACTGAAAAGTGAGATAACATATTTTACAGGCCGAAAAATCTTCTCAATGGAATAGTTTTTTATTGATAGACAGATGGCGCGAGGGAGAGTCTCTGCATGTATAGGGAACAGACTCATACATGTAACAGGACAGCAGCGTTAAAATACCATTCTAATATAAGTAAAAAATAAGAGTACTTGCTTCAGTTCAAACTATAATATATAAAATATGGAATAGAAACTTCCAAGTCTTAAAACCCCATTTAAAAATGGTCAAGGAGGAAGGAACGCCTTCCATATGGATGGGACAACGAGAGAAAACGCTCAGACTTCTTGGCCTATCAAGCTGAAAGGTCAAGCAAGCTTCACTGTCTGCCATTCCTTTCATACCACTTTTGCCGCCCAGGTATTTGAAGTCTTTTCCTCATTTAACTTTGTTGACCTGACTTATAACTGAACTAGATATAAATGCACAACACAATACTTTTTGTTAGAAAATGGTAACAAGAGCTATGGAGAAATTTTTGTCTGGACCACAGTACTTGGACCTCAACCCTTTTCTCTCCTGCCATGGTCCTGATAAAAGTTGCCCCTCTCCCACAGCCCTTGGAGGGAAGTTCTTTCAGGCCCAAACCCAAATTTAGTGTGACTCCCAGTATGGCCCCATCTTCAGTATCCCATTTCATGGAATATACTACAGGAAGGCCTTATTCAATACAGCAGCTAACATGTTGCTGTCACTTCACAGAAGTCACCCAGCAATGCTAAGTTTACTGGCACTTTACCAGAGAAAAACTTTATTTCTATTATGCTAATCTAAAGTTCTGGGTTTATGCTGGCCTTGAGGTTTTACTTTAAGCCTGGATGATGTAAATTCCAGTACAACAGTAAGAGGATGCTCAGTCTTCTGAAATAAGTTCAAGGGGAAACTTCATTAGAAGCTCAAGTGATGGCGGTGGCAAGGAGCGCTTTCCTTCAGCTTCGGCTGATCCATCAGCTGCGTCCCTACCTGGAGAATGACTGCCTAGCGACAGTGACACACACATTGGTCACTTCCCGATTAGACTTCTGTAATGAGCTCTACGTGGGGCTGCCCTTGAAGACGGTCCGGATATTTCAGATGGTACAAAATAGAGCTGCCAGGTTGCTGACGGGGACTGGGCATTATGTTCACATGACCCCAGTCCTCCATCAGCTCCACTGGCTCCCCATTGAAGTCCGGGCCCAATTCAAGGTGCTGGGTATCACCTACAAAGCCCTGAATGGTTTGGGTCCTGGTTACCTAAAGAAGCGTTTGCATCCATATATGCCATCCTGCCCCTTGAGATCGGCGACAGAGGCCCTTCTCCGGGAACTCTCTGTGAAAGATATAAGGAGGGTGAGTACCCGGAGGAGGGCTTTCTCTGCGGTGGCGCCCAACCTATGGAATGCGCTCCCCAGAGAGGTCCGCCTGGCGCCGTCATTATTTGCTTTTCAGCGCCAGGCCAAGACCTTTTTATTTAAATGTTATTTTAATTGTTAAGGTTATTTATTGATTTTAAACTTGCCAGGCTGTTTCCACTATTTTATGTATTTTTTGTATTTATATGCTGTTTTTATTTATGATTGTAAGCTGCCCCGAGGTTTATGTGAAGGGGGCGGCATATAAGTTGTTTAAATAAATAAATAATTTGCTGAAGCTGAAACTCACTAGAGGCTCTCCAGGGACTTTCCCCATAATTCGCCAGTTTCATCTTTGCATAAATATCAAGACAGGGTCTGACAACCTGCTTTCCATCTCATAGCTATGTTCAACTTCCAGTGTAGTACTGTGTTTGAGTGACAGACTACTACCAGGGAGACTGATATTCAAATCCCCAGGCAGCCATGGAATCACTGGGTAACTTTTAATTAGTCACTGCCAAATTTCCATGTCATGCTACGCCACCCTTGGAAAGAACTTACGGAGGAGCCGTTTGCTGAATAAGCGGGCAACAGATTATCAGGCTTGCCAAGGCACATTCTCCCCTCTCCTTCCCCTTCAGTTCTGGCTCTAAAACTTATCCCAGGAGACTTGGTGACACATCTTTTCTCTTCGGCCTGATCCTCTCTCCACTCTAAACACCACCTCTTTTCATTTCCCGGCTTTTTTATTGTCTCAGCCTCAAAAATGTGCAACTGGGTTCGTGCATTTTATTTATTTATTTATTTATTTATTTATTTATTTATTTTTGAGCAGGCAGACTTTTGCAAGCGTGCCCTTCTGGCTGTGTTCTGCATAGTGTTTTCTAGTCAAACTCTGTGTACATTTCTGCTGTCAAAGAGAGCTACAAAGTGCAGTAGGAAATGTATAATACAATTGGCAAGAGAAGGATGCCCTCAAGAGATGTTGGAAACTTATTAGAGATTACACTTCACATGCAGATGAGGGAAGAGCATTTCAAAAGATGAGGCAATAAAAGAAAATGTTCTTTTTAGGTCATGGCCACATAATTATCTGCAGGAAGTACTCCACCTAGTGCTGCCAGTAATCTAGCTGACATGTACAGGAGCAGGGGCCTGTTTAGACTGATCCCAGTTTGTTCAAGGTTTTGTATGTTAAAAGGACCTAGAAGATGCCCCAGTAGCAACAAGGCAGACCTTGCAGTTCCTGAGCATGAGTACAATGCTGGTACGACCCAATGTCCTACTGAACACCCTGCCTGTGTTCTGCACCATCTGCATCTTCCAAACCGACCTTGGGGAAGCCCCATATTACTGTCATCCAACTGCAGCATCACTAGAGGTTGGGTGCCAGTGGCACCTGAAGTACATTGTATGGACACAAATGTAATCAATAATACAAGCACATCATGCCATCAAAATGAAGTAGATGGGGCTTTAAGACTTTCATTTTTTCAGTTTAATCCCAACTTTCTCAGGTCCTGCCATCTCTCTGCAACTTTTAAAAGATGGGAAGGGAGGGGGAAGGGAGGGGAAGGGGAGATATTTTGCCACTGATCACATCACAAGTAATAACCAACCAGGCCTCGTGACATTTGTGTGATCACATTCTACCCAATCATAGTAACTGAAAGCAGGAAAATATGTATTTTCCAGGGGCCAGGTCCATTTTAGTTAATGTAGGAAATAAAATAACAACAACACTAGAAAAACTGAATGCATATTAGGACAATACCTTTATAGGAAATGAAGCATCTCTTCAACTGATACAGGCCATTTGATGCAGAGTACACAAGATGTCATTTTCACACGTATGTTCTAGAAAGGACCTAAGCGACTTGATGAAAAGTTGCAGCTTACCTTTCACGAGGAACGGCAAACCAGTACTCAGGCTGCTTTCTTCTTTTTCCATATTGTTGAGCCATTGTGGTACTTTGGGAAGTAAATGACTTCCTCATAGGCTTGCCCACTTTGATGCACAGAAACATTGGCGGGGTCTTGCTTTTCTCCTCTTTTGAAGGAAGTATATCTAAATCCAAGAGACCACAGAGTTACAACATAGCACATGCAACATTTTAGCCAGTGGAGCCAAAGATGCTTTTGAATTAATTCAGTTTTATTGATTTAGTATATAGGCATCTATAGTAGCAAAGTATGTGTAAGAAAATGCAAGAAAAATATTTAAAAGGTCCATGCTGTACATTCCTTCCAAACCAAATGTTCTTAAGAAATCAGTGAAATTGACTAGTTTGTAAAACACAAACACACAAGACCTAGAGTATTATTCAGCTGGATATTTTGCTTTGAAACAAAAGCAGTTCAAGTGGGCTTTAGCATGGCTCTTGCAATCAGGACACTATCAATTTTCTGGCATGATAAAACATTTTAACTATATTCATCAAGTAATAGGGGAAAAAACTAAGATATAATAGTTCTCATCTCTGGAAACACCAGCAACTGCTGAAAGAAAATATAGGAAAGAAAACTAAGTACAGACTCATGGAACAGTGGCTGACTGTGAACAAGCTGCATACTAGGGCAATGCAGTCTCCTCACTCCTGCTTCACTGCTGCCACCAGCTGGTGAAAATGTGTGCCATCAAAACTTTAGAACCTTCTTGCTTGTTCAAACAAATCAGCATAAGCCAGGAACAACCCTTGATTTACAGTCCTGGATTGTTAAGGCCAAGATTCTAGGTTTGTTTTAACTGGTCAGGTTGTGGTAGGAGATAAGAGCAAATGGACTGTATGCCCCATTAAGCAACGTTTTCACAAAAAGCAAGGAATGGCAAAAATCCTGCCTTTCTGCCATTAATTATTCACATCAGAAATGCAAGCAGCCATTTGTCTTTCCACTTCAGCTAAGAGGAAATGGTTGCCTCAGGATAAAACTACCAGCACATTATTACCACAGCTAATGTTGTTTTGTACATGAGAACAGTGTTATGGAGCTATCCCAGATGCCAATTTTTTAAAGCCTGGGAAAGAAGACGGGGAGATGTTCCGTAGTATTCTCCCATCCGTAGAGAAAGATGAGTGCAATGCTACAGCTATAATTCTGCTAGGCAGATGTTGGTGGTGGGGTGGCTGGATTAGAAAAGCGGAAAGAAACCAAATTAGCAAGTGCTGGAACACTCATTCCACAGATTTGCAAGACTGGTATACAATATGCTCTGTGTATCTTACTGAACTTCAGGACATATACTGGAATCCAGAACAGTTCATTGCATGCTTTCTTCCACATTTCTATTTGCACAATTCCAAGTGAAACCCTGTAAAGATGTAAGAAGAGCCCTGCTAGATCAGACTAAGGGTCCATCTGGTGCAGCATTTTGTTCACACCATAGCCAGAGCACAAGCAGAACAGGAGTGTAACAGCATCTCCCATCCCTGTTGCCTGGCAACTGGTATACAAAGACATACTGCCTCTAATACTGGACTCAGCATGCAGACATCAGGACCAGTCACCACTATTGTCTTTCCCATAATTGTCCAACCCCCTTATAAGACCCTTGCCATGCTACCCAGGAGATCACAGCCAGAATATCACGATTGTAGTAAGTTTTCTCATGAATACAGACAAGTCCAGAGGGCATGGAAATTAGCTCCAATGCACTGTCTATAGATAAGCCAAACCATTCAGCAGCTTGGTCAAAATACCCACTGGTTATCAAGCCAAGGAATGATAATAACCAGCACTCAGAACCAGCCAGCCACTCTAGAATAGAAGTCACTTCAGTATGAATTGACACTTGCTTTATGGCTTCTGAACACTGAGGAAACACTGTCACAAGGAACAATGAAGGCTAGCGATGAGTTTAGGGGGAAAAAACCATTGCAGGGAATACACACAACCCTTCCCTGCTCTCCCCGTTACCACCATATTGTAGGGGTGCTGCAATAATTCCCCGCTTGCCCCTGTGAGAACCCCTCTGCAGTGGCTCACTGTTGCACACAGGCTGAATTGCAAGGGATTCTCCTTACAAGAAAGAGGGACAGAAGTATAACATTATACTGCTAAATTATCTCCCACAGTTGGGAATACAGGATGCAGCCTGAGTCAGGCCATTTGGCCATCCAGTTCGTACTCTCAGCACAGAACAGCAGTGGCTCTCCTTGTTTTGGGCAGAATTCTTCCCTGACTCTCTTCGGGATGAGTTTTAGATCTGTCACTTCTTGCAGGCAAAGCATGTGCTCAACCCTTGAGCTACAACCCTTTCTGCTAAGTTAAAGGGGGACTTTTGCAACAGAAACACACATCCAGTTCTTCAATAAAACATTAGCAAGTATCCTTCATTAAATCTATGGCAAGCAGCCCTACCTTCGATGGGCACCTGGATTCTCTGCAACAGCCACAGTCTGATTTCAGATTTATTATCCAGATGTGATGCCAATGAGGAAGGTATCGAACCATCACACTCTTTTTTCTCTGCTCCTGCTCCTGAGTCAGCTTCTGACAATGGTCCTTTCCTTTCAATAGAGCATGAATCAGGGTCTTCCTTTTTGCTTTTAAGTACTTCAGCAGTTTGCAACTTTGAAGAGCTAAGTGTGAGGTCTATGCCCACTGGTATGTTGTTGCCCTCTTCCATGAGTTCAGTCTTACACGACACATCAGTGGACACAGGCTTGTCCTTATCTTCATTGAGGTAAAATTCAATTAGCTTGTCTTTATTCAGCTCCTTGTTTGCATCCAGAGTAATATCTGCTTTATTTGTTGGAGAACAACCACCCTTGTTCATTTCAGGCACTGCATCTAGCTTCTCACTGGACTCTAGATCTAGGACATCTTTAGGGGCCTCATGCTTTGGCCCTGATGAATCTGACACTGACTGCTTAGAATTTTCTTTGTTTGTTGATAGCAACTGGACCTCTTCTATTATTTTGCAGTCCTTGGGAGCTTCTACCGTTCCTGCATCTCCACAGTCTACTCTGCTATGAGGCTGTAATGAAGTCTCTTCTAGTTCAGTAAAGCCATCTTCTTCCAGAAGGGAGTTGTCTTTGGTAAGCTCCAGTGAAACATTTTCTACAGAATGTCCTGTAGTATAAATTTCCAAACCCAACTTTCTTGAAGGCTCAGGAATAATGGAGTCCCTTGTTGTTTCCACTAACCTAGGGGTCACTGGGGGAGAACTTTCAGCAGGTTTAACAATTTCAAAATCAGTCACTTTCCCCTCCTTTGATGGTTTTATTAGGTTTGAATTTAATGTAACAAAGTTGTTTACTTTCTGTTGCTTCTTTTCCTTGTTCATGGATTTAAATTTGCTGAAAGGGTTGATGTCCTTCTCAGAAGCAAGGTCTTCCCACTCACCAGGCCTGTACAGAGGACAAAGATCCTTTGGAATATCGCTGTCAGGAAAGATGGTGGATGTATATGGAGTGTTAAAAACAGAAAACAAAATGAAAAGAAAACAAGAACTCAAGAAATATTTAAATAACTAATACAACAAATGGCAAAAAAGAAACAGTTAGCTAAAATGCACCAAACCAATTTTGAAATAATAGTAACTAAACAAGATCCATAAAAATAAAATGCAAACCAACTAAAATAAAGTTGTTATGAAATTGAAGAAACAATATAATAAAACATTTGTATTCTGAGGTGCATGATGTGGAAGTGGAGAAACTGATGCAATCTTAGGTTCCTGTAGGTATTTTAATTGGCAATGAATGAAATACAAGAACGAGTCTGGGTATCATATTGCTATCAAACAAGCAACAGAATTATTATAGACTGTATCATTTATCTCTCCAAGATGTTTTCCAGGACAGCTTCCATCTCATCAGGTGAACCTTTGTTAGCTCAGGAGACTGGAGGATGTGTTAATCATTCTAAGCTTTCAAAACAATGATTCAGCTCAAAATCATGAGATGGATCAGAAAATACAAAATCCAATTATCTGAAGGGCTCCTAAGACTTGCCTTCTCTTAATCAAAATAATTTCATTTGAGGTACCTAAAGCATGTTCTCATGCTTCTCATGCTTCTCTATAAATACTATTTTTTTTTAGTGGAAAGTTTGGAACAGGCCAGAAAGCTTGCTCCATTCAAATAAACTAGGGATGTTGCTCCCAGACTGAGGGACCAAAGCTTGGAGTCTCCAAACAGCCTCGCCCTCTTTCTTGGTGCACCCCACAAACATTGTTTCCCAGCGTCTGCATATTTTCCTCCTTTCTAAATGGCTGTAACACCTTCCCTAAATTTTATTCACTGGTTGCAATAACTGTAAAAGATGCTGGTATTTTTTTTTTTGATATTTTGTTCCCACTGCCTTTGCCTCCAAGCCCCATCCACCACTGAAATGCAGCCTCCAAGCTTCTTCAGAATTGAATTTGGACCTTGGGCTGAAAAAAGTGCGGCACCCCTGAAACAGAAACGGACTAAACACTTCTCTTATCCATTGCTCACTGTTTTTCTTCAAGCTCACAAAGATTAATAAGGAATCTCTACATTCTTAAAGTGCTTCTACACTTCCCATGTTTCTCAAAAACATATTTCCTTCAAATGATGACGCTTATATGCAGTCATATTACAAAGCCATTTTCATGTAAACTGAAATGTTGCCTTTGTAAATTCAGGTTTCACATGTTCAGTTTTCTGACATGAATGTTGCTTGAGGCCACTGTTCACACAGCACCTCACCACAAAAACACAAGGTGGCTCAATGGCTGTATGAAAAGGTTCTCACTTCACAAAATATTGCCATGAGAATTGTGCTTACATCTTCATTCTGAGTCACAAAGACATAGTCAAAATTTTAAAAAAGTTTGGAATGGGAAAAGGGAACTAAGAAATTGGGGAGTAACCATCTCACTTTGGTTTAGGTTCAAAAGCTAGTGCAAGGTTTCAAGGCTACTTAACTAATCCGGGGCTCTCTGGGCCTAGATGAGTGTCATAATTCCTCAAAAAGACACCACTGTTTCGCTTATCTCCCTTCTTTTCTTGTTAGCCATTGTTCTATTCCTCAAGTTCACTGCGGTGTTTGTTTCATTTTCTAACTGCTTGTCCTCCATATCCCACTGATAACATTCAAATGTCATTAACAAAGAACTCTTCTTACGATGGCAGAGCATCTTTGATCTTCATGTGAGAGATATCATTGTAGAGAGCAATCGAAACCACCTCTTCCATGGGACAGATGAGCCCGTACTCTTCACAGCCATTTTCAATTACCAGAGGGTCTGACTTGTGGGGGTCAAACATGATGTTGTTGGGAGTAATTAGCATGACTCCTCCCACTACACCCTTGAAATAAAAGTAGGCATTTAGCACTTTAGACCATCATGACACATTCACAGAACATTCCTAGGTCCATTGTCCCTTATACTTCTTTTCCTAGGTCCTCAAAGCTTCTTCGCACCTCCCATGGAATCATGTTTTTTACCAAACTAATTTTGAGCAGAGGACAACCTATTGAAGGATTCCAAATGCTCAAAACACTTCTATCTTGAGCAGACAAGGCCAGAGTTATAAAAAGGGATCAAGGCATTTAAATTTAATCCTTGGCTGCAATTCAATGAGAGCTGTAGATTAACTAGAGTCAAAATATTAGATTTCATGAGTCAGCCCTCAGATCAAGAAGCTCCCCTCCCTCCGCACGCAAACACATACATCTCATAACAGCAGGACTTGAGTTCCTAGGCTGAGAATTCCCCAAAGGAAATATGTATTCGTATAATACAGACAAACACATAAGTACTCTATTTAACTGGTTCTGTCCTAGAGTCAAACTACATGTCATGCTGCTCATGTAGCACACAACTAAGCCTTTTACTTTTTTACTCTTAGAGTTCGTAGAGTTTAGCAATACATACTCATATCCAGACTCATGGAAGAAAAGTCCAAGAGCAGATGTACATGTGTGGTTCAGGTGGTGCCTGCATTTCAAGCCAAGACAATTAAGCTTTCCCTCTGTCTTTCTCTCTGTCCCTCTGTGAAGTTTCTCTGTTTCAAAAATTCTTCTACCAGAGCAACTTTTTCTTAGCAAAAGTTCTGGCTACATGCATCTGCAACTAAAATGTAGTACCATCCTTAACTTGAAATGCTAACTGTACCAGATGCTTGCTATAGGTTCCCTTGGAACCTCAAGTTTCATTGACAAAACAGTTTTGGTTTGGGTAGCATTCCTTGGTCAACCAACCAAAGGTTAGTTTTCTGTGCCAAAGAAGATCAGCAGAAGACATGGAATATGAGTTTTCTGCAGCAGTGCAATTTATACAAGCACCTGGTATGTTAGGTCCAGCACAGAAAGCAATCAGTGACATGATTAAGAACCGATTCAGTTAAAGCAAAGCCATATAACTTGTGAACCCAGTCATCTTAGAATGCTCGCTCGCTCGCTCGCTCGCTCTGTGTGTGTGTGTGTGTGTGTGTGTGTGTGTGTGTGTAAAAGACAGTCAGCACATCCTATAACCTGCCTTGTGGCCTGCATTGGAATATCAAAAGCTTTGCACACCTGAATTAACAGTTCAGAATGTGAACCTTTATTCAATCATACAGTCTCTATTCCTTCTGATACAGTTTTTCCTGGCTGATGCGTTGTTTTTGTTTTTACAAATCATTTGTTTGTCTTCTTTCGGGGAACGTCTTTATCAATCTCCTCAACGCAAAAATGCTACCCATCAATGCTATTTAATTCAGAAGCATCTATGATAGCTCATGGGATTACTACCAGTCAATTTGGTTAATTCTTTGAATCTGCTTACAGAATTAAAATGGCTGTTAACCTCATTAAAAGATCTCATCTTCCTTAGTGTCTCTTAATAGCAATTCCACATGAAACACTTGACTGCACTCGAGCTTGTCCTTTGCTTATAAGAGGGATAGGGACCATGCAGCTCTCCAGATGTGGTCAGACTGTGGCTCCCTAACCTGCATAAGCTATGGTGGCAGCTGCAGGCCAACAATATCTGGATGGCCAGATGTCCTTCATTCTTGGCCTATAAAATATGAAACAAACCTCTTGCAAAAGAATTAAGCAAAGCCCTCTACCTTGCCATCTGTGAAGTATCGGCAATTCATTTTTAAAAACTTTCCAACAATCGGCTCATCTTCCTCTGAGGTGGATGACAGGACTCTTTGGAGTGGTCTGCAGGCCCTTCTTGCTAAATCAGCATCCTTGAAAAATAAAAAAAGAAAAGTCACTGCCTTGGTTCTTAAATTGCTCTTCCACTAGTCAAGGTGGAGGAGTTGAGGCATGCTTTCTACCTCAGTTTGATACCACAACGGATCTCACACTATTCAAAGGGTCCTACATCTGAGAAGAAGATTTCTTGTGGGGTACAGAGAGCTGCATAGATATAAGAGTGTGGTTGGAATGCAGTTCCATGAATGCAATGCTGTTGCCTTCACAGAAGAAGGCAGGAGCCAAGCCAGTACAAATGGAATGCCTTCACGCTTGTATTATATTTGTATTGTTATCTTCAGTATAGAAAGCCTTCGGCAAGCTCTACAGATCTCATCTTCTGCTCAGTGAAGATGACTACATAAACTGAAAGCTCACATACAAACAGAAAAAGAAGTAAGCTGATTTATGGTCAACATAATACACAAAATGAGAGGAAACCTCCTTATGCTAACATTGCATTTAGAGAACTTGGGACAGACTAAAAATATAATAAAGCCGCATTTGTTACATTTCTTGGTAATGGTAGAAGACCAAGGCCACACAGAATCCAAACCAGGACTATGTTGAATGCCAGCATTGCCCCATCTGAGAACTAGAACTATGCAGGTGGTAGTATGAATAATTTAGAATCCACAGAGGTTGTATGGTTTGTTTCCAGGAAAATAACAAAGGGTATTGCGGCACCGTAAAGACTATCCAATTAATTATGTCATAAGTTTTTATGGAACACAGCTTACTCTCACGAAGGGATAACAAATTAATTATTTAAGGTGTTACATACATAGTTCTCTGTAATTTGAACCTCAGAATCTGTCCAGACTTCTGGAAGTCTTACCGGAAGTTTATCATATTCTGCATCTGATGATGAAGGTGAAACAGTAGCTCCAGGACTTGAGGATGCTAGTTTTGATGCAGCAGACATATTCTCAGCATCTGGCACGTACAGAACCTGGAATCAACCCCAAACAGGAAAATGAATTTTAAAATTATTAAGCTTATTTGATGTATTCTGATCATGCATATATGATCTATTTGCTAAAAATCCATCAAGGCAGCAAGTTCTGCCAGCAAGTGCTATGAAGACAACTACTTGGGAGGTTCTGTAAAGCACCAAGCTGTAAATCCTAAATGACATGGAAATCAATTTCTCTGAGCCAGGCATAAGTTGTTTTCCAATAATAAGACACAGTCAGATCTACTGTCAGACTCCTCTTAAACCAGATGAAGACCTTTCTATTTTCTCTTGAAAATAGCTCTCATCCATGGTTTCTATGGACTTTACTGTCTCTGTCCCTCTGACCTTATGAAAGTCCAGTTGGTTGATTTTATGTATTAGGTGGTATGAGAACCGGTGTGGTGGTTAGAGTGCTGCAATGAGGACTTGGGAGATCGGGGGGGCGGGGGTCTAGTCCCTGCTTGGCCATACAGCTCACTGGGTGACTTTGAACCTGTCACACACATTCAGCATAGCCTACATCACAAATGGACCTATATAGCCACCTTAGGTTCCTCACAAGAGCAAAAAGGGCGGGATATAAATGCAATTTAATGATGATGATGTGTTTGTTTTTTCTTGCCTTGTTTTATTAATTGTAATTAGCTGTCCTGAGCGTTCTGTAAACTGAAAGGCAGCATGTGAATATCTCTAATTAATACAGCCTTGGTGATCTTAGTTGTAATATGATGTCTTCTCAGTATTATATTGATCTACTCTGATATCACCCCATATTTGCAGGAGACAGGTTGCCTCTAGGTACTTTAGATTACAACTCGCACAATTCCTAACCATTGGCTGAAGCCTGTGTGAGTTGTAGTCGACAAGAAGGCAGAAAGTCCCACCTTCAACCCACTAGAAAACATCCTGAGACTCTGAAAAGCCACTGACATCTGTGTTGACAATAGTTGGTCTGGCTTGACATAAGGCAGTTTCTAACACTCCTAGTGCAAAACATCTGGAGGACACCAGGTTGTCTTTACCCATTCTAGGAGTAATTTCAGTGCTAGAAACTCAATAGACACCTTCCGGTGTCTGTTGACATCTTTAAAAATGGTGTGCAACTATACTGCATATGTTCAAAATGGTTTCAGAAGAGCCGTTATGGGTTAGGACAGACAAAAACTTTTAGAAAGCAGGATTTCATATTGACACAATTACCTGTCCTGGAACAATTGTGTGTGTGAAAAGTTTATTGAGTTCCACAAGTTTGTTTGGTGTGATGTTGAACTTCAGTGCTATGTTGTTTAGGGTATCTTTGCTTCCAGCCTAAGGAAGAGAAAGACAGAGATATTACATTTTAAAAAATGTCCCCCCCCCTCAATTATGCCGTATTAAAATCAACAAATATAAATCCTGGATTTACAGTACTATTTTATTGATTGATATTCCCCTTCCATACAAAAAACAAATCGTCATGTATCACCTTAAGGACTAACAAAAGTATTATGGTATAGGCATCTGTGGACAATCATCCACTTTATCTGATGTATTAACTTTTATGGTGCTATAGGATGCCTTATTGATTTTGCAGCAATACAATATCATGAAAATTGAGTTTGAGTGTGCCATGGCAGAATATCATTAATTAAATACACAGTTTGGTCCAGTCCACTTAATATCTTAACGTCATGGATTAAATACATTACTCAAAGCCTTTTTTAAAAAATCTAACTCCCTTTCCTAAACTCTTTTCCAAAGTATTCTATTGCTTGACCTCTTGAAAAAGCCAAGGGCAATCAGATGTGCTAGCTCATAAAAAACCAACTTATTTGCACAATACCCATGAGGATTAGTGGGGAAAATACTCCCATGTTTTGTGTCCCAACTGCAGTGGGGATTTAACTTTAGAATATTAACTAAAAAATAAACTCAAAAATACACCAACGTCATATTGGCCTTCTTCAATCTAGAATTATCTCATTAAGTCAACTATTTATTGGCTTTAAAAGATAAGGCCATTGTATACAGAGCAAATTTGCTTTCTACACAATCACCTGAGCCTCTTCTCAATTCTGTGTGCAGCAATGATGAACGCCCATAATTTGATGCTAAAGATAGGGAGGATGCATATTAAGACAATTTCATCTCCCACATTCAAGAAATGTCTGAGGAATGATAGTAGGGCTGGATGGAACAGTGCAATCCCCACTGCTGTCATGTCCAAAACTCCTTCTGTCTGCATATCTGATGCATGTACATGGGCTATGCATGTACATCTTGGAAATGCTCCATGTGAAGGAGGTTTCTGACTGAGCCAGGATAATGCCTTCCTTTCCTATTAGACCATAGGAACACGGAGATATTTCCTACACATGCTGAATATCAGTGGCTGGTGAGATTGAGGAGAAACAGTGACGCAATCTAGAATGAAGCTGAGCCTTTAACTGAACGAAAAACAGTTTTCTGAAATGCTCCTGCCCTCTTAGTCTTTCACTAAATCCAGTGTCTGACTCCTCATCACTATTCCTAGAATACGTCCCACTGTGGAATAAGTCCTATAATCTATATAGGAATGCATTTGTTTTAAGTACTTAAGCAATGTTACTACTAGAGCAGAATGTTACTCTGCATGAGTGACATACAGCACATGAGTGGAAGCTGTTAGAGGTGCAGGAAGAAGAAAAGAAAATGAAGCACATGGTAAAAATGGGCAAAGGAAAAAGGCCCACGTCAAAAAAGCTTTAGCAGATTCACAGCTAACAAGAAGTCTAATATTCTTTCTGCCAACATTACCCATGCAGTGTACTGAATTGCACATATGGGAATAGTGTTAACATATTTTTTTCTTTTTCACTTATGAAGGAAGCTTACATGTCCAGAGCACCCACTAAACATTCATCTCCATGAAGAAACCCTTTGATTGCAGAACACTTCCTTACAAAATGTGCCTTACAGAAGAATGGATACCTCTGCTTTCTATTGTTGGCCCCAAAGGGCACTCACATCACTTTGGAGTATTTTTTTTTCTCATCTTAGTATTTATTATCAGAAAGTACAAGAGAAAGCAAAAAGGAGTATGTAGGGAAAAAGAGAAGCCAAGCGTCATTCCAACATCATTCCAAGTTGCTTGCCAATGATTTAGCAAGCAACTCATGTAAGCACATTTAAAATAAACGTCTCGATCAACATCTTTCGCATCCAACCCATTCAATTCTCAGTCTTATATTTATCCAACCTGTAGTTACTTATAGATCATAAGATTGCTTTGGTAATGGACAGTCATCACAAACATATGTAGCAATTATATTTTCTTTAACAATTACTTAAATTGTTCATAGTAAGCCTTCCATCTTTGAGTAAATTCTTTAACTGGTCTTCTGTTGACATAATTAGTTAGTTTCGCCATTGCTGCACACTCAACTAGCTTGCTTTTCCAATCTTTGACAGCTGGGCAGTCTTCAGCTTTTCACTTTGAGGTAATTATCACTCTTGCCACTGTTATCATATATTTGTATAAGTCTGTCATAACCTTTGGGATAGTCTCTGGGGCAATACTTAGTAACATTTTCTTGGCATTCATTGGAAAGTCAGTTTTGAGTATTTTCTGCATCTCGGCATCTATCTGCTTCCATTTTTTTGGAAGCATTATCTGCTTCCATATATCTGCTTCCAAAAAAACCTTTTTTTTTTTTTGTTTCAGTCACATGTCCACCAAATATGGTAAAATGTCCCATCTAGCTCTTTGCATTTCTAACATTTTCCATTATAATTCTTATAATTCTATTTTCTGTATATCTTTTGGGGTAATGCACCACCAGAAATACATCTTATACCAATTTTGTCTTAGTGCTTGCCATGCAGTAAATTTTATGTCCTTTGTCCATAAGACTTCCCATTGGCAGGCAGATATGTCTTCTTGGAGATTCAGCATCCAGCTCTTCATGCATATTTTGTCTTGCTGAGTCTCAGTAGAATATTTAACCAGTTGTTTATAAATAACTCCTAGGAGATGGTCTGCTTGAATTATAATTTCAAAGTCAGTCAAATTTCTTATTATACCTTTTCCAGTTTGAATTTCCTTTTTTAATCTTGAGGCTTGCTGGTGGTAAGAAGCCAGTCTATATTTTTTTCCTTCATCTTTTAATTCTTGCCATGCCTTACTTCGCCTTTGTTGGTTGACCATGTCTCCACTGCTACTTACCCTTCTCTGCTTCTAAAATAAAAGATGTCAGGGTTCTTTGGCTAGAATCCCTAAAATGCAATCTGCACATGAGACATTGATCCTTATATGTCGGATTTTTGTGGAATAATGCAAAATAGTGAGCCTAGTTTATGTGAAGTCCTGTGTTGCCAATCCCCATGCTCTTGAGAATTAAAAGTGATTAGCTATCGGCTTATCATAACAATGTGCCTTGTGTACAGATGCCTCTACACAAGGCTCAGACACATGGAACAATTCTGAGTGTGTGAACTGCCACACACCTTCTCAGTACCAGTGACTAGGAATTCTATTCTTTCTGAATGTTTGAGGACTGCCATGTTATGATCCTCTACATTTCAACAAGAGTTATCAGGGCCAGACAGAAACAATAGGAGATTAGTTACAGCAGTTTCATATATTGCTCACATACCAGTTTGATTTTTGTTTCAGCTGTTTTCTGCTTTCACTATCTGTAATAACAAACTAACAACAATGAAGCTCTACAGTTATGTAAATTCTCACACTTGCTATCAAAGCAGCTTTTGACATAACAATGTCGTCATTTTCCACAATAGCTAGTACTCCTACTATTCTGGAGGTGCTGAGCTAGATAGATACCTTGGTGCAAAATCAGCATTAGGCTCTGAATAGAAGATACATGAAAAAGATATTTTTTTAAGTGGCAAAAAGCTGCTCTTTGCCTCCAAAAGCACCAAGGAACAGGAAGGGCTAAAGAGATTTTTTTTGGCAGGAAAATAGTATGGGTAGAAGGGTTAAGTCCCCCTGCCCAGGCGCTGCAGTCTCCATCCAGACAGGGGCCTTGTATGGGAACTGTAGGAAAAGCTTATGAACATGCATGCACACGCCCACACACACAATCAGAATATGAAAGAGCTGACACGGCATTTGACAAGTCATATTGGCATAAGATTTCAGGAAAATGATTGTCTCTCATTACTGGTATAAGGCCAGTGTGGAATTGGGATTTGGGAGTCCCAGGATCTAACTCCCATTAAGTCATGAAGCTCACTGGTGAACTTTGGGCCAGTCATTGACTTTCAACTTAACCAGGTGGAGTTATTGTCAGGATAAAACGGAGAAGAGGACAAGGACCATGGATGCCACCTTGGGCTCCTTAAAGGGAAGGCAGCATATAAGCATAATCAATGAATATTAAATATAGAACAACAAAACAATCAAAATAATGTAGAGTAATTGATTGGTGTTGCAAGTAACTGAAATAAGGTTGGAAGTGGGGTAAGTGAACATTTCCTAAAAGTTTCATATAATAAATTCTATGCAACCACTTCTTACAGTGTATTGAATTGTACCACTGGGTTTTTGCGAGACCATCTTCTTTTCTTTCTTCTCATTTGTTTTGGTCTGATTGTCATCTGAAAGAGAAACCAGAGGAATAATTCAGTTGACAAGTTTTCAAATCTCTAATTTGCTAGCACACACAAACTTTATAGTATTCATGTCCCAGCTAGCTGGGGGTTAACTCATATTGAAAAGTTGCACTTCCATATATTAGCTTATTGTCTTTGGGAAAAAGTTCCTCCCACCATAGTTCACTTCCATCTCTGACCTTTCTGCCATCATTCTAAAGGCAAATTCCCATGCCTCTTCATCAACAGGACTTTGACTTAACATGTATAAGTATGATAAATGGCTTAAACAATGGATGAAAAGCAATTTTGGCTTTTGTGAGTCACTATAATTGTTTGCAATTCTTATTCATGAACTACTTCCACATGAGCATTAAAGGTTTTAAGAATGCAATGCTGCTTACCTAAAGTGACTAAATGGTCACTTCCTCTATAGATGGAAAACATACAGGCCACATTTTCATTAGCTCAGGTAGAGGAGTTCTGCATGATTAATATTTATTAGTGATACAACATTGGTTCTCAAACGGCAGTTAGTCCCCAGAGGTATCCTCGGTCTAAGCTATAGTGGCGGCACTACCAACATTTCTTTGTGGGTTTATGGGTTTTTCAGTACAGAAAAAGAGAACGACGATGAAAAGGAGGAGGAAGGTAGACATATATATATATATATGGGGAAAAAATTAAAAGTGGATCCTCTGGTGTAAACTGAGACTAAACGTGAGCCCTAGGGTCAGAAGAGGTTTGAATCTGTTGTAATACACATTGAGTACTACATTCCCCCCAGGGAAGTACACAAAGTGCTTACACTCATAATCAAGCAGTTGCAAGAAGCAACAGGTCTACTTCTCTCTGATGGCTTCAGAATCACCTGACCTGTGGTAGGTTTAAGGCTTTGCCTGGGGCGATGGGCTTCAGCATGACTCAGCCTATGACCTTGTAGGATCACTGGTTCTCTTTATAAGATCAAAAACATGGTAAAAAGTCATTGCAACAGATGCTTGCTTAGGGTGGGCACTTAGAGAGTTGTTTTTACAAAATTACAAATTGAAACTATTGGGCCATTTTCACATCCAAGCAAAAAATTAACTCTTCAGCTAAAAAAAAAAAAGTTTTCTGAGTGCTCTTCAAGTGTTAATAAGGAGCTTCCAGCTTTCAGGATTCCAATAAAAGCATCCATGCTCAGAGAATAATTACAAGAATTCTAACTATATCACCAAAATTAATTGAATCCTTCCTAAAATGGATATTTGGATACTGACAGGAACATCTTTATTTATTATTGCATTTATACCCCACTTTTTTTCCTTCTTGCAAGGAACCCAAGGAGGCTCACATAATTCTTCTCTTTGCCATTTTATCCGCACAACTCTGAGGCTTAGGTTACATTAAGGGGTTCATGGCCAAGTGGGGACTAGGGCCACCCATGTCTCCCAAGCTCCTGTTTAACCACTTATACCATGCTGTTGTATAAAACAGAAGTAAGTTATACTAAATGAACTTGGTCTACTTTGGCAATTCTCTGTTATTTATTCTGACTGCCAGCAGCCCGCTAGGGTCTTAGGATGGCACCTTGTGCAGCCATGCTGGCTGGAGACACCAGGCATTGAGACTTATGCATGCAAAGCTGTTGAGACAAAGCTATAGCTTCTTCTCTTCACGTAGGCCACAGAGGTTCCACATACCTGCTATGATTAGCTGTCTAACAACCAAACTATCTATAATATACAGTGGTGTCTACCTCTGCACTGTAAACTGCCCTGGAATAAATATTCTGAATTATATAAATGTCTTGAATAAACAAATCTCTTCAAAATGTTCCTTTAAACTCAAATCAGTCTTTGGAAGAAAGCAGAGGGGGTGAGGAGAAAAAGCTGTTGAACTGTTTCCTTTTCAACCATTTTGACTCTCAGAATTACCCTCTTAAGAAAAAGAGACAGGTCCACATGGGCTTTTTTCCCCAGAGTAAAAAGCAGCTGGTGGAAGGAAAACTGGAATGGAAAGCCAACTAGAAGGGCAAGAGTTAAGCAGCCGCTTTCGCCCCACATCCCCACACCATCTTTCTCCACTGACACTTGCAGCTTCAGAGACCATCTTCACTCTGTCTGAGAAAATATGTGCATAGCTGTGTGTCATCTGTAATCTGACTCTGCTAGCCAGGGCAGATGGGCATTATAGCCAAACAACATATGGAAGGCCACATGTTCCTCACGCCCCTGAACACCTACATGCAAGATTCATAAATTATTCTTAACACATATGCATGCAAAAGGATCTGATAACAGTTTGTGTTTTTCCTGGAAATGCTGTATGTCAAGAGCCATCACTAAACATATACTCAAGCATCATCAGAAAGTTTTCAAAGTCTTGTCTGCTTTCCTAAAATCATTTGTCTCTGTGCTGCTTGGCTATTGCCCTCTCCTCTATGTGCAATAAGGATGAACAGACAGGAATCAGGAGCTTGCATACCTAACACCAGGTAGGGCTGCCTGTAATCCACAGACCAGGAGAAATGCTTCTGAGCTGAGAAGCTGCACAGCTTTAGCAGCTTTTTCTTGGCCATCCTACCGCTACTGTGATCATGGGCCACAGCTTCCGGCAGAGATTCACAGCTGTCTCCAGTTGCTGAACTGTATCCTGAAGAAGGCAAAGCCTCTTCCCATTCCACGTTGATGCCTTTTTCAGCATATTCACAGGCAGCCACAGCAGCCACAGCCTTCAAGGCCTTTCCAGACATACCCAGCAAGCAGCTCTTGCAAAATTCTCCTGGATAGTGAACACAAGAGCACTCTGCAGCAAACATCTTCAGTACAGTAATGCCGATGGATCATCCAATCACACCTCCAAAAATCCTGATTCTCTCTGTTTTCAGTCCTTTTACAGGCCCTTTTTTATTTCTTTGCTGAAAAAGCAAAGAGAATGGGCTTTGCGTCCAACAAGTTCTTTGTCACGCCTCCTACCAAGTCAGTCTGGTCTGGCTCAAAGCAAATGAGCCTCAGAGAGCACTGAAAATAAGCCACAGCAAAATTGAGGCCCAGACTCCCAGAAAGCAAGATGATCCATTTTCTCCCAGCTTGGGATTAAAAGAGAGCAATGTCCGTTCTGATGCAAGCACGCAAACACTTCTCCTAAAGCTCTGTTGAGGCAGTGAATGAGTAAGGGGCTTGTCCTGGTCTGTGCAATCCAGCTTCAGACAGACTAAGGAGGAGGATGAACGTAATACTGCATACTCCACCCCCAGCCCTTCAGCTGAAACACGAACACTATCCCTTGTAGCAAAGGAACAGGAGAAGGCACATAAGAGCACATAGAATCCTGGGCAGATCTCAGCTGAGGCTGCACTAATTTTAGTTTCTCACAGTTTAGAGTAAATGGGAGTTTCATACATGATGACTTAGCAAGACATTTTTGCATTCCCCATGTCCCTAATGCTTATGTAAACCTTCACAGTGCAGCTTATACATGCTGTCATTTAAATGGTTTGCTTCTGCTTTCTGTCCTAGATGAATAACACCCAAATACATTCAACAGTAGTGAAAGAGTATTCACAGTGCTCCATCCAGCCCAGCATTCCATTCACAGAGCAGCATGCCAGCTGCCCACAGGATCTGTATGCAACAGCTCCTCCTGCCCAAGCTGCCCAGCAAATGGTGCACCCAGGCACACACAGAGTTCCGAGAACTCTATCTCAGCTTAATAAGCAAAAATGAGCTTTTTGCCTTCATGGCAACCAGCAAAGAACATTTCCATTTTGGCCAAACCAGGAAACGATGGTTAATTGTTCTGGAATAAGTCAGGATATTTAATCGAATTCAAACAATTTAATTTCCTGGTTTGATACTAAGCTCTTAAGCAGGGTTACAGAATAGTTTGCTTGTTGAAAGCTGAACTGCCATTCAGAGAAGCCTCTGGGTACCACATTCCACCAGTAGCTGAAGCCAAAGGCCAAGTGAGCAAGGCAGAAGTGAAAGAGGCAAGGCCAAATATGGCAGCATATTTTAACTTAAAACTCTTATTGTCTTGAACCAAACCTTCAGAAAGCCATGTCAACTTTTTAGAATGGGAAGGAAAATTGCACAGAACCACAGGAAACCACCAAATAATCAGTGGTGGCAAGAAAGAGCATGAGCCCAGGGGGAGAAACATGGCTATCTGGCCTTTGAACCAAGTTACTGCACCTCTGTTCCTAACCTCTTTTTCCCAGGTTAGATGGAACAGCAAACTATTGTTAACAAGTGATGTCCTGGTTTGTTCCCTGAATCATGTGAAAGAGTTCTGTGCATGGGCAAAAAGGCTAGTTTCTATTTTGTCCTATTATACCACAATACAATCATCAAATAGGTGTTTTAGTGCCATGTGTGAATATGCTCTAAAATTTACATTAGTTCAATGTAACAGACACTCAATTGAAAAATCACCTTATTCTACAATGTTTCACATTATAAGTCTCAACAAGCTCTATGTACCACGTCTCCGACTCTTTACAAGTAAATAATTGAATCCTGCTGATTCATTACTTGCAGCACTCTGTGAAAACAAAGGCGATGTCTGGTCTCAAACTAATGAACCAAGGCACATTAGAAAGTGTACGTCCACATCCTCCTATTACATAAGTCAAGATGAGTCTTGACAATAAAGGCTAGAAATCAATGTCAGTAAGAACTTCCCCAAAGACATTCCAGAAACTAAACAGATCCATCAGGCTTCGAAGGAATTATCCAAGCTGCTATGCCATGCTGCAGAATTGGAAAAAAACCTCAGAAATTCAAACCTTCACAAGGTTATATCTGACACAAATCCACTATATACCCACCAACATCACTGATTGGTCTGTACACTGGATAACTGTGGGTACTCACAGCACTGAATCATATGTAAAAATGTCTGAGTCACATGTAAAAATTAAGTGGGGGAATGTTTGTGTCAATCTTAATGTTTCTCAGCACTAGAAAACTACAAAACCTCAACCTCCAAGCCTAAGGCTATTTTGGCCAACTCACTCAGTC